TATAATTTTATTGTGTATATATGTGTAGGTAAGCGTAATTGAAAACACCTTTCAAATGAACATTAGATTAACAATGAAGAATGGATAAAGTGATGAAAGTTATAGTAAGATGTGATGTAGTTTCTTTTTCCATTGTGTAGTGTTTTCCAAATAAAGATACTGAAAGTTTAGTAAATATTCCCAGACCATTTAAAAGCTGAAGTGATGGAGCTGACGCAATGTTAAATATAAAGTACTTGTAAAAACATGAGGACATGCAAGCGTGTGGCTGCCAGGCATAATTTAAAGGTGGGTTTCTTAACTGTAGGGTTCCAAGTTACATGGATTAGCCATTCTGATGCTGTTATGAGATGTGTCATCAAAAGCAGACTGTATACAAACTATATATCCTACTGTCTTAACAGACATGTGAGACCCAGTGCAATTCCACAAGGTGCCTTGCTCATCCAGCTAAGTACATATTGAAATTGGTGGATGAGAAATTAAGTTAATTTCATGCATTTCATGCATTGTGGATTAAATTAAATTTCTTCTAATGTATACAGTTGAGTGACATAGGAAATTTTTATTTATATTAAAGACAACTTATGAATGTATTGTGGCACCGAGAGATCCATTTTTTGGATGAAAATATAATTGTAGACTGTGTGCTTTGAGAACACGTTCATCTTGAACCTGTAGAAACTGACTCAGATAGGGACTCTAATCACAGTCACATCTTTTTCTAAATTGCGGTGTGGTAATGTTTAATCTGGTGAGTGAAATATTGCTATCTACATAAGGATTCAATTCACCAAAGCCCAGATTCAGGCGTTCTCAGTTGCTTAGTCTTGAAAACAACCATAACTACTTCAGTTGCTGGAAGTCTGCATAGCAAGCATCCAACAAATTTCCTCCTGGCTTCTTACTGAGCCTTGCAGTGTGTATATTTTACTGTTGAATTTTAAAGAGGTAGAAATAATTTGTCCTTTAGGATACAGATCCATAGACAAGTAAAAGTGGAATGGTACTAGTTAAGAGATATAGAAAACTATATATATAGTATATTACTATGTAATAGCAAAGTAAAAATTATATTACAGTCAATAAGCTACTATATGGAAAAGTTTGGAAACTCCCCATTTTATGTTACTGAATTGCTTAAAAGGCCTATTTCAATAAGATCTATTACCTGTGGTTTTGTGGGGGTTTGGGTCATCTTTTTTTTTTTTTTTCTTTTCTTTTTTCTTTCAGTTTTCTCCTGTTACCAAGCTCACTGAAGACACAAAATAAGAAATAGGTATTCTAAATATTTACTCACAGTTTATGAATAACTGGGCTTGATGACCTATAGGAAGGGTTCTTAAAATGTGGCATACCTGCCTCCTGTGGTATGCAAACCACAGCAGCAAAGATAATCCATTCTCGCTGCCTTTCTCAAGAGAAGATGGAGGTCAGCCTTCTGCCTTTACATGTAGCCTGATCCAGCAGTGTTGGAGACGGCTGTCAGTATCACCGCTCCTGTGCGAGGAGAGGAAGCCATAGGGATGGACAGCAAAGATTGAAATGTTGCTCTTCTTGCAGCAAGGATATATCACAATTCTTTCCATGGCAAAAGAATGTCCACGTGACAAAATTTTTGTTTCGGAAGCAACAGTCTTAAGCTAATTATAAAGGTAATCTGATTTTTGGTGCATTGTAAAGATCTTAATAACCCATGGTCTAATTTTTAACTAGTGCATGTTACCCCTAAAGAACAAATATTCAGAAATGCATAATTTCTGAAATAATTAAGGAAAACAATTTTGTAGTAGATCAGTTAAAAATTTCAGTAACTTTGAGACTTGAAATATCCTCTGTTACTGGCTATTGATATTAAAGAAATGTTGGAGATATACATTCTGATGTAGTGATGGTGGGGGGAAGTTATTGTTTGTTACTTTGTATTGGTAATCACCATAACTGCATTTTAATTATGTAGCGCACTCTACATCACAGACAATGGCTGTGAATGAGTCAACATTGAAAATTTTGCCAAATCCTGTTCAGTGTATAGTCTACTCAACTGAGGTACAAAATATAGTGGTCCTTGTAAGAGATGAGGACAATGGAAATCTTTTGGTTTGTTGTAAGCTGATTTATTGTAAGGGTGGTGAGACACTGGCACAGGTTGCCCAGAGAAGTTGTGGATGCCCCCTCCCTGGAAGTGTCCAAGGCCAGGTTGGATGGGGCTTTCAGCAACCTGGTCTAGTGGAAGGTGTCCCTGCCCATGGCAGGGGGGCTGGAACTAGATGATCTTTAAGGTCCCTTCCAACCCAAACCATTCAACGAGTCTATGATTTTGACTTTCCTGTGTTAGGGACATGTATGGAACAGGGAGGATTTTTTTTCTGTTTATTTTACGCTGTGTTTTCTATGGCCACTGCTCCGCCTTATTTGTTGATGGCATATAAATTTTTGAGAGGCAGGAAAAAAAATCCCAATTTTCTGTAAGAATGAACATATTTAAGTAAAAACTCTGAATGGAAATTGATGTATATAGACAAAGCTAAATTTAAAACCAAAAAAGCCTAACAAAAAATCCTTGGCTGTGATTTTTAAGTTATTATTTAAGTTGTGTTTTGTTTCATTTTAATGAGAAAGGTTTGTAAGGTGGCCTCTGAGACAATAAAAGCACCAGCACGTATTTATTTGCCCATGATAACTTTCAGCTACCAGTGCTTATGAGTGAATATTAGTATCTTGCAAAGTGGTGCACAATGTACCTCTGTCTTCTGGATGGTGATCTTGCTAGGAGCTTTCAGAGTTTACATAGATGCTGACAAATAGGTTCCTATAGGCCTTCCTCCATGCCAATGAGCTCCTGAAACACAGAAAGGCTTTCAAGATGTGAAGAAAACGGGAGAAATACATGCTTACACACACACACACAATTACTTTGCATGACTAATCTGTTTTGTTGTCTTTTTAAAGAATGGAGAATGTGGATTGTGATCTATGGAGGAATGTGTTTAGAGCAAATGCACTATGGATTTATGTCCCAATTTAATTCCTGGTTTCCTTAAAAAATGGTAAATGATAAAATGCTGTGTATGTCAGTATGTATATATATATTTATATTAAGTTTGAGAGCAATGGGTTAATAGAAGTGGTAGTGGGAGGAATGTCAGTATCATGTTCCAGGCGCTGTTACAGATTTCTTAAGCAATATTAGGTACTTGGATTTACAAATTTATTTCTTTCATTGATTTGTCTTTTCTGTGACATCCGGAAAGTTTAGCCTCAAATAATTATTAAGAATATGCATCATAATAGATGTTGCATAGTTTCATCTTACCACTGATACTGTGCTTGCTTTGGAGAAATATGAAACTGTATTGTCCTGTTAATTGTTACTTGTGTATAAAGGACTGTTCATGTGCGTTCAACTGTTCACATTTCTTTGCATGTTTGGACACTTAGTTTAGTACGCTTACCTGCATATAGATTTAAGAATTTTCAAACTAAGGCTTTAAAATGTGATCCCTTGCTTTCTATTTCTACTTTGTTGTGTTAATGTAGAATGGTTTGTTCATATGCATATGTAAAATTTGATATACTGTGTATGTAATTGTATGTGTGTAATGTGAAATGTTAAAACTAAGCATCTAGTTGTCTGGAAAAAGTTAAGCTAGAAAGTTTATTAAAGCACAATCTTGCTGTATTTCTAATGTAAAAAGAATACACCTTAATGAAAAGTTTGCATCTGCTAGCAATTGAATCGCCAATCAACTGATGTATTAGTAAAGTAAACTTTGCCAATGAGAAATCTAAGGTGGGACTGTTCTGAAATAACAGTGTGTGGTGCATGTGTCATAAAAGTGACTCTTCCCCTCAAGCCTCAGCTACAATGCAGTGTAGCAGTAATTGAGCAGTAGAGGTTGTGTATCAATGTCACTCCCCACATAATGATCAAAATTTGTGGAGACGGTATATAGAGAGTCAAGAATCTGGTAACAGTGTATCCAGTGAGCCAAGCGTCATACAACCAAACCCATCTGATTGCACAAAGGGTAGAAACTGTGTAGGATACCAGTTGCTTTTTTTTCTCTGCCTTACACTTTATTCTGAACTCTCATGTGATTGTTGTATGGTTTGGTTTTTGATTTTTGTAACTAAAAAAATTCTTTGTAGAATGGAATCTGGTCTTCTCAGCCATATTCCTTTGAAAAATGGATGGCTTTGAAGAGTTCTGGTTTAAATAGGTTGTCATATAAACAACTTTAATAATGATATTTTGTTGTTTTATTAACATCTCTAATTAAGTTCAGGGAATACTACCATATTATTTATTCTGACAAGCCAAAGGAATAAGGACTTTGCGTCAGTCTTGAATGCTTGCTAGTCTGAAGCATTAGAGGTTCCAGGGCTACATTAATTACCTCTTTCAAATTCGGGATAAATATTTTTTTGTTTTCTAGGGAGCATACCTTAACATTAATATAAAGTAATTTTGAGAGATTTGTAATCTGGTATCACTGAAAACATCTGCGGAGGTTAATCGACGCAGTTTCTGTGGCTGGCAAAACTAGTTATCTGATTACAAACAAAATCTAAGTGCATTTGGTAACCATTTTCTGGTGACAAGCCTGGTTGGCAAATTGCAGCCAGAAAGATACTGCACAAGGTAACAGCCTAAAGTTCAGTGTAGCACCAGGACATCTCCTATAAAATAATTTATATAAAAACATTTATTTACATATGGGGGGTGTGTATATACACATGTGTATGTACACACAGATATTTATGGTTTCATATGTTTTCTGTGTGTATGTTTTATATACAATTTTTGTCTTTCTGGAGGAGGGTAAAGGGAGAGCCTTGAAAAGTCCTTCCCTGCTCTTATCAACATAGCAGTCTCAGCTGCCCTTCTTGGATCCCCTGCCAGGGTTGCTATCATCTTCTGATCAAATATTAATGTGTGATTCTCTGCTTGCTCACTAATCCAAAGCCAATTAATATTATCTGTCAATTATTTACAG